CCGCAGCCCACTGAGAAATCACAGCACCAACTCCCACATCCGAGGCGTCCACCTCCACAATGAATTGCCGGTCCACATCAGGCATCTGGAGGATGGGAGCGGAGGTGAACCTCACCTTGAGGGTACTGAAGGCTTTGTCGGCTGCTGGGGTCCAGGTGAAGGGTTGCTTGGTGCTGGTTAGAGCAGTGAGAGGGGCAGCAACGGTACTGTAGTTCCGGATAAACTTTCTGTAGAAGTTAGCAAACCCCAGAAACTGTTGCAGCTTCTTTCTGTTCTCCGGAACTGGCCATGAAGTGACTGCTGATACTTTGGCAGGATCCATTTGGATACTTCCCTCTGCCACTATGTACCCCAGGAAGGCCACTGTCTTGACGTGAAACTCACATTTCTCTGCCTTGGCGTAGAGGGAATTCTCCAGAAGACGATGAAGGACTTGCTGGACATGGCGGGTGTGTTCAGACAGGTTTCTGGAGTAGATTAAGATGTCATCCAGGTAAACGAAGACAAACTTGTTTAACATGTCCCGCAGTACATCATTCACTAGAGCCTGGAACACAGCAGGAGCATTGGTGAGGCCAAAAGGCATAACCAGATACTCGTAGTGGCCTGTTGGTGTATTGAATGCGGTTTTCCATTCATCTCCCTCCCGGATCCGCACTAGGTGGTAAGCGTTTCTGAGATCCAACTTGGTAAAAACAGTGGCTCCCTGGAGCAACTCAAAAGCAGAGGTGAGCAGAGGCAGAGGGTAACGGTTTTTCACTGTGATGTCGTTGAGTCCCCTGTAGTCGATGCAGGGGCGAAGAGATCCGTCCTTCTTCCCCACAAAGAAGAAGCCAGCACCAGCAGGAGATGAAGATGAACGGATTAATCCTGCGGACAGAGAGCCATTGATGTAGTCCTCCATGGACTTTCTTTCAGGAGCAGACAACGAATAAAGACGACCCTTTGGAGGGGCTGTTCCAGGGAGGAGGTCGATGGCACAGTCGTACGGTCGGTGAGGGGGCAGAGATGTGGCTCTTGCTTTGTTAAACACCTCTCTGAGACCATGGTAGCATTCTGGGACATTGGAGAGGTCAGGAGCGGAGTTAGTAGGTACTGGCCGAGGGGGTAGTGCGGCAGCAAGCAGGCAGGTTCGGTGGCAGTCCTCTCCCCACTCCCTGATCACCCCGGTCACCCAGTCGAGCTGAGGGTTGTGCCGGCGGAGCCATGGGTAACCCAGGATGAGGGGTTGGCCTGGAGAGGGGAGCAGGTGAAACTGGATAGTTTCTTGATGGTTTCCGGACAGACCCATCGAGACCGGGGCCGTGACATGAGTGACCGATCCGAGTAAGTGTCCGTCCAGTGCCCGGGCAGGAATAGGAGGTGTCAAACGGAGGTTCTCCAGTCCCAGTTGGCGTGCCAGCTTGATGTCCATTATGTTGGCTTCGGCGCCAGAATCCACCAGAGCAGCCAGGGTGTGAGTTGAGTCAGAGAGGCGGAGGTGAACTTGCAGCAGGGGTTTGCGGTCGGAGGACTGGATGGTCATTGAACTCAACCGGACTCCCCCTATGCCCGGTGAGCTTCGGCCCTTTAAAGGGCAGGTTACCACACGATGTCCATCACCTCCACAATAGAGGCAGAGGTTTGAGGTGAAGCGGCGCTGGCGCTCTGCAGGAGTGAGAGAGGCTCGCCCAATCTCCATAGGCTCAGACTGATCAAGCTGACCTGGGTGAGTGGCAGTAGATGACAGGAGCCCAGTCGGATCTCTCCGAATGCCGGTAGTAGGTGGACCTTGGCGCCCCCTCTCACGACGACGGGTCTGTATCCTTCTGTCGATCCTGACAGTCAGTGCGATGGCTTCATCAAGAGTGGAAGGCAGTTCATGGGAGACCAACTCGTCCTTGATATAGTCAGCCAAACTATGGAAGAACGCGTCCACCAACGATGGTGTGTTCCAAGAACTTCGTCTAGCCAGGGTTCGGAAGTCGATGGAATGGTCTGCGACTGTACGTCTGCCTTGTCGAATACTGAACAGTTCACGAGACGCCTCTGCGGTTGGTGAATCCAGGTCAAACACCTTCAGCATCTCCTCAGCAAACAGGTCGAAGGTTGCACATGCGGGGGTTTGACGTTCGAACTCTGCTGTTCCCCAGAGTCGAGCTCGGCCCGTCAGGTGAGTGATGGCATACCCAACTTTAGCCCCCTCCGTGGCGAAGGTCCTTGGCTGCAAGGAGAACTGAAGTCGGCAGCTAGTCAGGAACGGCCGGACCTGGGTTGAGTCGCCGTTGAACCGCTCGGGGTTTCCAATCTTGGGTTCCGGAGCAGCGGCTGCAATGACCGGGGCAGGTAACTCGGGGGCAGGGCTGGTGGGCAGACTGGCTGGGGTAAGGTTGGTGAGGAGTTGAATGATCATGGCGAGTTGTTGTTGCTGCTGCTGGAACTGCTGCTCATGCTCATCGGTTTCCATGTCGGGGAAAGTGTGCGCTGAGTCCATAATGGTCAGATCGTACTGTCACGGTTCAGACAGACGACCAGAGGACCACAATTGCGTCACACCAGAAAGTTTATTAAAACTTAAGGGAAAAGGGAAGTAGGGAGTGAATGAAGGCTCCAGGGGTAACAGGGATCCCGTCCAATGTGCTGGGTCTGTGCCCCCCCCAGTGGCAGCGATGCGTCCTATGAAGCCGGTGGTGGGTGGTCCAGAAGTCCTGGGGGGGGGAGACACAGACACAACAGGGCGGAATGAAACAAGGCAGCAGTACAGTTCAAGGGAAATCCAAAATACGTAGTAGCAAGGCAGAAGGCTGGTCAGAGTTACCGGGATTGAAGAGTAGTCAGGAGTCGTTATGGCAGAAGCAGGTCTGGATCTCCTGGGGCAGAAGAGTATCCAAAAATCAGGCAGGTCCGGGGTCACAAAACCAGGGTGAGCCAGAAGCGCGAGCAAACAGGTTCCGGGTGTGAGCTTTGCAGACGATCTGACACCGGAGAGCTGAAAGACAGGGCCTTAAATACTGGGAGAGGTAGTGGGTAATGCAGCGCAGCTGGCAGAGTAATTAGAGCAGAGCAGAGCAGGGACAGGTGGAGCTAGTTAGGCTGAGTAGAGAGAGTGGTGAGCAGAGTGGAAGAAAATTAAGGTGGTAACCCGGTGGAGTGAGAGGCTCATGACACTACTGACCTTATCCTTGCAGCTGAGATTCAATGTAGGTTTGGATTCCGTCACCATCTCTGTCATTAATCAGGTGTCCTCTGGCCTGTTTTAACCCTTAATGTCAAAGGGCAGGACTTTCTATTTACGAATGTATCATTCGCCCGTCGACGGTTTTCAGAGTTACCTGGAATGACAGAAGCAGGTATTGGAGTCCGGCCTCGAAGGACCAAGCTGTTATGTGAATTATTTAACAAACTATTTCAGTGTCTCTGTGCGTCTCCCAAAAGGTTGTAAATCTTTTGGGATTTAAGTAACGGACAGAGTCCCGATCTGCATAGTCAGAGATCTTTATTCATTGAGAATTCTGCCATCACAATTTCAGAGTCCATCTTTTATACTCATACGTCATACAAAAAAAAAAATCTCTCCCCTCTGTAGGCGGGCTGTAGTTTTCCACTCTAAAACTGCTCTCCTGACCATCAGTTCACACACACACATATACTCACATGCATACACACATACATACACACACACACATGCATACATACACACATACATACACACTTTCTTATTATAGCCTACTCCCTGCATTCCTCCGTTATTTCCGTTCTCACAATATTCTGCACCATGTTTTCATAACAGTTTCTCTCCTCCCTAAATTCCTCAGTTATCTTGGTTTCTCAGTTGCCTGTAGCCTTTCTCCTTGTCCTTTGTTATCTGGCCTAACTCTTACTCACATTGCTAAATAGTAGTCTTTACTGGTCCTACACTCACACATTTCTAACACATTATACACCGTTTCAGGGTGTAATAATGAGTCATTAATAATTAATCTATCAGTGTGATGACACTATTTTCATAGTAGTTCTAGAAGCATGCATCACTAGACACCACACAGCATGATAGCCGATCATCATCAACATCATAAACCAGGTTTCCATCCAACCTTTTTATGCAAGTAAAGTACGCTACATGTCGGATAAAATGTCATAACAGGCCTGATGGAAACAAAATTTTTCGGCAAACGTTCCATATGACAAAACAAAATACGCTAGACAATGTGGGATCTTTTTGTGTCGGTAAAATTAATTATGCGAGAAATCTCGGTGTAAATATTATCATATCGAAGTAAACTTGGAGTCACGCAATGACATGTTGTGTGGTCCTCCCACTACAACTCGTCCGGAAAGCATGCAGTTTATTAGGCTACAGATTAAATACATTATGATGAACTTCACAGGATGGTGAAAGTGCAAGGTAATGAGCTTGATGCGCCTTTCCAATAAATATCGAGGGTCTTATTCTGATGACATGATAATCGATGCTTAGCTGCCGTTTGACAATTAAAATAATCTCTCTCTTATGTCCATAATAAAAATTATAATATCATAATGTAGGCTATAAGTGTGCTCTAGCCAAGAGCGCGCAAGATAGCATGGTTTGCTTGAGCGCACGTGCCAATACCAGACTATATAAACCAAAGTTTTTTTGTGACAAAACCATCAGGAGAGTTGAAAAGGCTATGAGAACCCATTTAATTTGTATTTTGTATTCGGTACAAGGAATTTAACAGCAAAATGTATTTTTCTGTGCACCACGTCATCACGCACAGTCAATTTGATGGAAACATCTCTGGTGGGAAAATAAGCATATTGTTTTTATTCGGAATTTAGAGTATTCGCCATGAAAATATGTCGCCAATTATTGGATGGAAACGTAGCTAGTGTCATAAGGACCATAACAAGATGTGGGTCTTTGAAAGCTACTGTAGTAATCATCCTCTCCAAGAGAGTCGCTCTTGAGCTGTACAGTGCAGAGTGGGTTCACCTTCCCCCCATGGCAGTTAGAAGTTTGGAAGTTTTTACTTGCCAAAATGGCACTGGCAGACGAGAGCGGTTACGAGTCAGTGATCTGTGTAAAGCCAGAGGTTCATGTGTACAAGATCCCACCCCGCGCCACTAACCGTGGATATCGGTAAGTTTTTTTGCGGCCCGCCCTTTAATACTTTTTCTTCTAACTAAGTTACTCAAATGTCAACCTGAAGAAGTGGAGAGGAGGATCCATCAAGACAAGGTTGGTGCTAGTTAACGTTAGCTTGACATGATTCAGTTATTGAATGCATAAAATGGCGAGAAGATTAAGATTATTTTGGGAATAACGTTTTAATTAATTTAGCTAGTTAACTTTCAATACGTGTTTTATAAAGTGGCACTCTTAGGCTCTCTAGCTGCTAGCTAGCTGACGTTAGTTAGCTAATTTGCTAGCTAGCTTCTAATATTAGCCAAATGAGTTACGACTGGCGAGCTAGCTAGGTAAATTAACTAGCTATACATCTGTAATAGTTAGACTGAGATATGGTTAACTCATAAAAGTTAAAATAGGCATGTCAGTATTATTTTCAAGCTATGTGCAATGCTAAACACTGCTGCTGTGTCAAATTATTTTACAGGAAACGTTAGCAGGGAGCACGGGACATTCTACGGTGGCTCAAACGTGCAGTCATTTAGTCATGGTACTGGTGGTACAGTTATGTCACAGAACAATGACAGATATTTCACCGGATGTATAAATGTGAAGCATCCGCTTGGCGTTTTCACTCACTACCACATATGGTAGTGAGAGGAAGCCTAGTGGCCGGCAATGGGAGAAGATTAAACGAGATGGATTTTGGCCGAGATTCGGCTAATATTCTCATCGACTAAACATTTGATTTCAATACAGTTTTCTGTTCCCAAAACTAGAACCGGTTACGAACAGAGTGGACTAAGTTTTGTAGACTTTCCCTTTGCCAAAGTTTGTAAAAATAGCGTTGTTTAGAATGAGTGCAAAGGCGAATTGAGTTATTGCACACGCGCACTTCACATAGTAGGCGTTCCCTAACGGAGATATGCAAATGCCTGCTAGAACGCGCCGATAGGATGCCGCTAGCTCGTGCTTTGCTCTGCCCACCTCCTTGCTTGTTCTTCCCACTATGACTCATTTGTTCCCATTTGACACGATGGGCTGAGGCCTAACTTGGTTTAGTAATAAAACATCTTTGGTTATGTTTATAGCTAGCTAACATTACAGAGGAAAGTGGAAAAGTGTGTCTAGTGAAAATCGATCCTGGTTCTAATGTAAGATATGTAGCTAATACCATTTATAGCTAGATCTGTATTATCTAAAGAGTACACAGACACAGAGATCATCATTCATTTCAATGTGTCAGTTTTACCCAACTGTAATTGTCCCAACTAAACCCCCAAATGTTTCAGGTATAAACCAAGTGTGCTAGCTTGCTCTGTGGTTGCCTCATTGGGCAGATTTCCCCCTCCTGATAACAACCAAAATGTAAATAATTCTAGTAGTCTGGTAGGGGGAGTCTTGTTTCTAATAAGAAAAAGAAGGATATCTGTACTTATGTCAAGAGTTGTAAATTGTATGCTCTTATATGTCCAATAAAAAATGAATGCTTCTTTGGGCAACCAGAAAACTAAAAAATACTCCTGATTTGCCGGGTGAGAGTGTGCTTTTCAGACCTTAATGTCAATCCATGTATTCCCATGCTCTTTATGTAGCCTAAGACTCCTATTCTGTTGCATAGTTTGAGATTGGACTAATTATTGCAGTACAGTTTGATTGTGGGTTTTAGTGTAGTAGGCTCAATAGCCCTGTAACATAGTGGAGTCATGACATGCAGGTATGGTGCTTCTCTTTGTTTATCAGAGCAGCTGACTGGAAGCTGGATGAGCCAGCATGGACCGGCAGGATGAAAATCATATCCATAGGAAAGCTTGCCTATATCAAGCTAGAGGACAAAAACTCAGGTAGGTTAACTACTAGCTGTCCGACGGTCATGGCTACATCTGTAGCTCAGCTGGTAGAGCACGGCGCTTGTAACGCCAAGGTAGTGGGTTGGATCCCCAGGACCACCCATACACAAAACAAAAATGTATGCACGCATGACTGTAAGTCGCTTTGGATAGAAGTGTCTGCTAAATGGCATATTATTATTATTATTATTATTATTATTATTATTATAATAATACTGCTGTTGCACTCATGTTTGTACAGGCTGTCACCTTTTCTGCTTCCGATGCATACCATGATATCCAGCTTTGAGGCTAAATTAATTCTGTATTTCTTAGGAGAGTTGTTTGCCCAAGCCCCAGTGGAGCAGTATCCTGGATGTGTGGTGGAGGCAGTCACAGATTCCAGCAGATATTTTGTGGTGCGGATAGAGGACGGCAGTGGTAAGGTGCCTTCACATCAGAAATACATCACCATGCAAACTGATATGCTATGCTGAAAATATATTTTCGGTGGAAACCGTACAGTGTGGTATGAAAGGTTAATTGCAGATTGGCAATTTAAATACAGTATGCTTGTACATATGTCTTCTCATGCACTTCTGTTTATAAGGACGACATGCATTTATTGGCCTGGGGTTTGCTGATCGTGGGGACTCCTTTGACTTCAATGTGGCTCTTCAAGACCACTTCAAGTGAGTCAACCTCTCTTTGGTCTGGGCATCAACATCCATTTTCAATAGAGATTTTCACATTGGAGCATGAAATAAAATCTAACAAATCTCTCTGTGTCCTTTTCTACAGGTGGGTAAAACAGGAAGGTGAGCTGGCGAAAGAGGAAGCGTCTCAAAGCACAGCACCCAAACTGGACCTAGGCTTTAAAGAGGGCCAGACTATCAAGATTAGCATTGGGGTGAGCATTTGAGGTTACAGAAATAGATGGGAAACATGTTGAAAGGAGAGGAGAAACAAAATGGGATAAAGAAAAAGTGAGAGAGACATTTAAAATGGAATAATTCTTCTTTGTCTTAGAACATAAAGAAGAAGGATCCAGGTGCCAAGTCTCGCCCCATGGGTAGTGGCCTTCTCCTTCCTCCACCAATGGCTAAGGGTGCAGTCCTTGTATCCCTTCCTGGTGGCCAGCAATCACCTCCACCTCCATACTCCAACACAGGTAACCTCATTAGGCTATAGAGCTCAATGACCCAAATGTCCCATTACCACTGCCCAATCACAGCTTAACATGGATAACCTGCCTGCATTCTAAATCGACGTTGTTTTTACCCCACCCCCACCAGCCTCTCTTTTAGATTTCGGAGGCCGGGTCCCTGCGGCCCAGCCTACTGCAGACCTGTGGGGAGACTTCACAGCGGCTGGCGCCAGGTCAGTCTTAGAAGAGCTAATGGTTTAGACTGAAGAAGTTGGCAGGCCTTCGGAATGGTGTTGTAACAAGGGAAACTGACTAGGGATCACAGGGTTACTAGCTCAAATCCCTGATGGGTTCAAGTCTCTCATCTCCTTGAGTGAAGCTTTTAAACAGTTTGGGGATGATGGCATTTTATTGTCTTCCATCCATCCATGTTGTTGTTGTTATTGACTTTCTCACATTTGTCATTATCCTCATCATCCTCTCTGCATCTCCACTTCTCCACAGCTCCAGTCAAGACACTGCTAAAGGATGGGTGCAGTTTTAGCAGTGAGATGGACCACATACACACTCTCTCTCACACACACTCAGGCTCCTTACATTCCCTGGATAGAATGATTGTGACAACAGAAATGTGAGGTGGGGGAGCTCTGTCAACTGACAGGTTGCTTGACACAAATGATGCTGTACGTTACCTACACATTTTGCATACCAAATGTATAGATTCAAACTATCACAAGTCAATGATTGACCAGCACATACTTTTTTAGATACAAAGACAATATTACTAATTTTTGGATACTTTAACTATGCAGTCAGAAGTGACACTTCATTTTGTCGTTGATCAAGTATTGATACCTATTTTGCTGTCACTGACCAGGTGAAAATGATGTGCATTCCATGTTATAACACCTTAAGGTGGCGGTCCGCTCATCTTTATATGTCCATTTCTCTCAATTTCTCTCAATCTTTACAATAATCTGGATGTCAACATCTCGCTGTCAACCTTTCCCCTTATCTCTGACCCTTCACCTCACACTACTCCTAACTCCTGCCCAGCATCATTCATCATCTCATTGAGTCATCCAACATTAGGTGTAAAGTTTAGTATTTGTATGCCTTACTTTTTTATTTGTGTTGGAGAGGGTGAATATTTGTTTTGTTTTGTATGTTTTATGTTCAAGTATAACTTGTCCCTCACTTTTATTTGAGAGAATATGAAGGACAGGTGTGTGTGTGTGTGTGTGTGTGTGTGTGTGTGTGTGTGTGTCTTTTCACAAGGTTGGGAGTTGACTTTGCTTCAATGTTGCTCCACACCCTCCTTTAAACTGGCCTCTTGGTTAAGATAAAGTATAGTATCTGTTCCTATCAGTCTGATATCTGATATCTTGGGCCTTTAGTATACTTTTACATTTTAGTCATTTAGCAGACACTCTTAACCAGAGCGACTTACAGCAGCCAGATCAAACCAATGTTCTAGTTTTTGGTAAATATGAGGAGGTAGGTCGGAGGAAGGCAACATTGACAGTTAACCAGATAAGTAGAATTCTGGCAGATGTGTGTGATGCGTTTGTCTTTTTTATTTGTTTACAAACCATATCATAAGTCTTTGGCCTTTCCTGTCCTTTTTATTGAGTTTCTCTGTTTGTCATCCTTTATTTCTCCCTAGTAGTGCCTTTTCAGCGAATTGGTGGAGTTATTGATGTTTTGGCTTTAATTTGCTACAAATATTTGCTCCAAGTGCCTTTTTACGCAAATCAAAATCACCTGTATAAAATGTAAAGCAAAATTTTTACTGTAAATAAACCATTCGTTGTTCAGTTCTTCCTTTTCTGTTTGCATTGTCAGGTTGATTCCCACTACACAGGCAATGCAGCAGTGTTAAGCTTGTTTAACAGGTAGTTAGTTTGTGACTTTAGACGTTGTCTCCATGACTGGTAATTGTTTGGTGAAGTATGACAAACACAAGCCTCTACAACTGTTTTGCTTCAGTGCACAAGAGGGAACTGTGCTAGTGTGTCATCTGACACCAGAATTCAGGATTATGATTGTCTTAAGGGGTCTTGACACCTTGTCTGTCACAGTGGTTACTTTGGAGAAGGTGCCAGGGTGAGTAGAGTGGGTATTCATTTTGATCTTCAGTGTCGTTTTATTTCCGTTCTATTATGATATATTGCAATATACACTACCGGTCCAAAGTCTGGACACACCTACTCATTCAAGGGTTTTTCTTTATTTTTAAAATGTTTTACATTGTAGAATAATAGTGAAGACATCAACTATGAAATAACACATATGGAATCATGTAGTAACCAAAAAAGTGTAAACAATTTAAAATATATTTTATATTTGAGATTATTCAAATAGCCTCCCTTTGCCTTGATGACAGCTTTGCACACTCTTGGCATTCTCTCAACCAGCTTCACCTGGAATGCTTTTCCAACAGTCTTGAAGGAGTTCCCACATAATGTTGCTGCTACCGTCTCTTAAAAAGAGCTTCTGGACATCAGAACAGCGATTACTCACCTTGAACTGGACTAATAATTTTTATTTAATGAGTCGGACAAGAGGGATTTGCTCCAGACACCCGACAGGGCCCTCATCCCTGTGCTTGGTAAGGAGCCGGCGACGAGTGGCTAATCTGCCTTTGCCATCGATACTATTGGCCAACTTACAATCGCTTTATAAAAAAGTGGACGAACTACAGGCACGAATATTCTACCAATGGGACATTAAAAACTAATATCTTGAAGACATGAATAACATACAGCTGGTGGGTTATACACTGTATCGGCAGGATAGAACCGCAGCCTCTGGTAAGACAAGTGGTAGCGGTCTATGTATATTTGTAAACAACAGCTAGTGTACGATATCTAAGGAAGTCTCAAGGTTTTGCTCACCTGAGGTAGAGTATCTCATGATAAGCTGTAGACCACACTATCTACCAAGAGAGTTTTCATCTATATTCTTCGTAGCTGTCTATTTACCACCACAAATCGATGCTGGCACTAAGACTGCACTCAATTAACTGTATACGGCCATAAGCAAACCGGAAACGCGCTCCTAGTGGCCGGGGACTTTAATACAGGGAAACTTTAATCCGTTTTACCTCATTTCTACCAGCATGTTAAATGTGCAACGAGAGGGGAAAAAACTCTAGACCACCTTTACTCCACACACAGAGACGTGTACAAAGCTCTCCATCGCCCTCCATTTGGCAAATCTGACAATAATTCTATCCTCCTGATTCCTGCTTACAAGCAAAAACTAAAGCAGGAAGCACCAGTGACTTGGTCAATAAAAAAGTGGTCAGATGTGGAGGCCAGGTCATCTGATGCAGCACTCCATCACTCTCCTTCTTGGTAAAATAGCCCTTACACAGCCTGGAGGTGTGTTGGGTCATTGTCCTGTTGAAAATCAAATGATAGTCCCACTAAGCCCAAACCAGATGAGATGGCGTATCGCTGCAGAATGCTGTGGTAGCCATGCTGGTTAAGTGTGCCTTGAATTCTAAATAAATCACAGACAGTGTCACCAACAAAGCACCCCCACACCATAACACCTCCTCTTCCATGCTTTACGGTGGGAACTACACATGCAGAGATAATCCGTTCACCCACACTGCGTTTCACAAAAACCAAAAATCTCCAATTTGGACTCCAGACCAAAGGACAAATGTCCATTGCTCATTTTTCTTGGCCCAAGCAGGTCTCTTCTTCTTATTGGTGTCCTTTAGTAGTGGTTTCTTTGCAGCAATTCGACCATGAAGGCCTGATTCACACAGTCCCCTCTGAACAGTTGATGTTGAGATGTGTCTGTTACTTGAACTCTGTGAAGCATTTATTTGGGCTGCAATTTCTGAGGCTGGTAACTCTAATGAACTTATCCTCTGCAGCAGAGGTAACTCTGGGTCTTCCTTTCCTGTGCCGGTTCTCATGAGAGCCAGTTTCATCACAACACTTGATGGTTTTTGCGACTGCACTTGAAGAAACTTTCAAAGTTCTTGAAATTTTCCAGATTTACTGACCTTCATGTCTTAAAGTAATGACTGTCGTTTCTCTTTGCTTATTTGAGCTGTTCTTGCCATAGTATGGACTTGGTCTTTTACCAAATAGGGCTATCTTCTGTATACCCCCCCACAATTAACTTTTAAGAAGGCACACCTGTTATTTGAAATGCATTCCAGGTGACTACCTCATGAAGCTGGTTGAGAGAATGCCAAGCGTGTGCACAGCTGTCATTAAGGCAAAGGTTGGCTATTTGAAGAATCTCAAATATAAAATATATTTTGATTTGTTTAACACTTTTTGGGTTACTACATGATTCCATATGTGTTATTTCATAGTTTTGATGTCTTCACTATTATTCTACAATGTAGAAAAATGTAAAAATAAAGAAAAACCCTTGAATGAGTAGGTGTGTCCAAACTTTTGACTGGTAGTGTATATTAGCCCACACCCTTTGGATATGAACTTCTGGACAATGTATTTACAGTATTACTTTCAGATAACAATGTATGTATGATATGGTTAATAGCCTAATAATGAAACTTCAGGGTGGATTGAAGGCTACATGTGTCAAGAATGGTGTAGTGGTGGAATCAAGCGCAGGACACCGAAGTATAGTCCAAAAGACTTTAGTTCAATTTCCAACAAGGAAAATACGAACAAACTTGCCCGAAGGCGAAACTACGCACGAAGGCGACAAAACAAAAGGCGCACTAAACATGTGCGTAAACGCTCCAACACAGTGGAGTGAAGCTCAACCGAGCGAATAAGCAATATACAAGCACAACACATGACAGAAATAAATCAATCACACACAACACTAGACAAACACAACGAGAAACTTATAGGACACTAATTACGCTAAACGAGAACAGGTGTCACAACAAACAGACAAAAGCAAACGAACATGAAACATACAACGGTGGCAGCTAGTATTCCGGAGACAACGAACGCCGAAGCCTGCCCGAACAAGGAAGAGAGGCAGCCTCGGCCGAAACCGTGACAACATGCATGTGTTGCATGCAACAGTGCTTTGTTATAAAACATTGGGCTGTCTTTATCTTTGCTAAACCCTCGATGAAGACAATTGACCATTATTTATGAAGTTAAGAGATGCAGACTTTCACGCATATGGTACAGTACAATGCCAATGTCGTTATCATTTATCAAGTCCCTCCACGGAAAAGGTTTGGAGAAGAGCTGGGAGCAAATTGGCGTTAGCAGGATATTGCTGCCAATTTACTGACTGGAGTGTTGTAAAACATTCAAAATCCGCAACAGTAGTCCAAGGGTCTTGCTCTCGAGTACGAATGGAGCTGAAAACTATGGACTCATCCCTTATTAATTCTAGGTAAGGTAATGGAATGTATGTGTGAATAGGCTGTGATTTTAAAAAGGAAGTGGTGAATGTAACCCATTCGCAGCTTGTAGGCTACTGTTTATTACAGAAAACGAAAGGAAGTTTACTCTATTTTCACTGGAGAGCCGCGTTTAATTTGGGCCATGGTCAATAAATGATCATTAATTCAGAGACCCATTC